AGTGTAGGGAGAGGATGCTGCCGCTCATAGGGACAGCTTAGGAAAGAATTCTGCAAACTAGTACATTAGTTGGGTGGGGTGCACTTCATATCTGAGAGTCAAATAGAAGCGTCAAATAATGCTGTCACATTTCAGTTTTAAAAAGTCATTTTATTTTGGTGCTAAATAGTACATTAGTGGGGTGCACTTCATATCTGAGAGTCAAATAGAAGCTTCTAATAGTGTGCTTCGAGCGCAGTTGTAAACATTCTAATTGTTTTGCTGCTAATCTGCTAAATAGTACATTTTGGGGCGTGCTCTTCATATCTGAGAGTCAAACGGAAGCGTCTAATAGTGCGCTTACTGCACAGTTGTAAAAAAATTCGAATTGTTTTGCTGCTAAACTGCTAAATAGTACATTTTGGGGGTGCTCTTCATATCTGAGAGTCAAATAGAAGCGTCAAATACTGCGGTTACAGCGCAATTGTAAACATTCTAATTGTTTTGCTGCTAAACTGCTAAATAGTACATTTACGGCATGCAGTGCATTTCTTGCAGTCCAATAAACGAAATAAATAAATAAATAAATTGTTGACTATTGGCGGTTACATTGTCGCCTGACATAAACCATCTGTTAGTTTTGTCGATGAACGCAAATAAGGGACACGGCCCTGGTCATGGTGCTGCTGGTGTTGGTGGAGCTCCTGTCGCACGGAGAGGACATGGTCGATCTGTGCCAGCTACACGCACAAGTGAAACACCTTCCTCAGGTGCGAGTAGACCACCGAACCTTCAGCGTTATTTGGTAGGCCCGAATGCCGCTCTACGAATGGTGAGGCGAGAACAAGTACAGGCGATAGTAGATTGGATGGCTGACAGTGCCTCCAGTTCCTGCACATTGTCTCCCACTCGGCCCCCTGCTGAAAGCTCACCTGCAGCCCATGGCCATCTGTCTTTCAACTCAGGAGTCTGAGCAAAAGTCATGCAGCAGTCTCTTATGCTTTTTGATGACTCTGCTGGCGGGGTTTCCGTGAGCCATCCACCTAGCCCTGCCCCAGAAGTGGAAGAGATTGAGTGCACTGATGCACAACCATTTATGTGTCAGGATGTGGACACGCAAGGACCACCGCAGCGCATCTTTGATGACGAAACACAGGTGCCAACTACTGTGGCTTTCTGCAGTATGCAGACCGGCAAGGAGGGCAGCGTTGAGGAGTGGGTGGAAGATGATGTGGAGGATGATGAGGTCCTAGACCCCACATGGAATGAAGGTCATAAGAGTGACGTGTGCAGTTTGGAGGAAGAGGCGGTGGTCGCACAGAGGCACCAGCACAGCATAAGAGGGAGCAGGGTGCAAAAGCGGAGCGGCCGTCCCATAGACGGTACGCCTGTTACTGGCCACCGCACCGAGGGACCAAGCACATGAAAGCCAGCTCCAAGGAGCTGCACGCTGTGCAATCAAAGCCTGAAGCGAGGCATAAACGTGCTAAACCTGAGCACAACCTGCATGACCAGGCATCTACATGCAAAGTATGAGCTGCAGTGGAGTAAGCACCTCAAAAACAAAGAAAAGCCTCAGGCTCCTCCTGCTTCCTCTTCAGCTGCTGTCTCGGCCTCTTCCTCCACCTCTGGAGTGACAGTGGCACCTGCCACCCCGCAAACAGAGGATGTGGCAGCAACGCCACCACATCCACCACCGTCCCCAAACATATCCACACTGTCCCATGGAAGCGTTCAGCTGTCCATCTCCCAAACACTGGAGAGAAAGAGGAAGTACACCCCTACCCACCCGCAATCCCTGGCCCTGAATGCCAGCATTTCAAAATTTGTGGCCTTTGAAATGCTGTCATTCCGTCTGGTGGAGATGGACAGTTTTTAAAACCTGATGGCGGTGGCTGTCCCACAGTACGTGGTTCCCAGCCGCCACTACATTTCCAGACTAGCCATCCCTTCCCTGCACAACCAATTGGTGGACAAAATCAGGTGTGCACTGCGCAACTCCATTTGTGGAAATGTCCACATAACCAGAGATACGTGGACCAGTAAGCAAGGGCAGGGATGCTATATCTCCCTAACTGCACACTGGGCAAGTGTGGTGGCGGCTGGGCCTGAGGCGGATAGCAGTTTGGCGCACGTCCTTCTGCCACCGATGATTGCAGGGCATTTCTCTTTGCCTCCTGTTGTCTCCTACTCCGCTTCCTCCTCCTCTACCACGACCTCATCCAGGCAGCGTAACACCTTCAGCACCAACTTCAGCACAGCCAGGGGGAAACGACAGCAGGCTGTTTTAATACTCTTATGTTTGGGGGGAAAAAGCCACACCGCGCAGGAGCTGTGGACGGGCATGGAACAACAGACCAATGAGTGGTTGTTGTCACTGAGCTTCAAGCCCGGCCTGGTGGTGTGCGATAATGGGCAGCAGCTCTGGGCCTAGCCGGTTTGACGCACAATTTGGTGCGTCAATTTGAATTTGGTGGTGCAGAAATTCCTGAAAAACTACCCAGATATATCAGAGCTTCTGCAGAAAGTGCGGGCAATCTATGCGAGCTTTCGGCGTTCTCACCCTGCTGCTGCTCGCCTGTCTGTGCTGCAGCGTAACTTCGGCCTTCCCGCTCACCGCCTCATATGCGACCTTGCACATGCTGGAGAGACAATGCAAGCAGCAGCAGGTGATAGTGGAGTTTCAGAAGCAGCACGCAGAGGAACAGCACCACTTCACCACCAATGAGTGGGCCTCCATGCGAGACCTGTGTGCCATTTTGCACTGTTTCGAGTATTCCACCAACATGGCCAGTGCCGATGACGCCGTTCTCAGCCTTACCATCCCACTTCTATGTCTCCTTGAAAAAACGCGTTGGGCGATGATGGAAGAGGATATGGCACAGATGGAAGAGGAGGAGGAAGAGGGGTCATTTCCATGGTTATCAGACCAGTCATTCACAAGTGGCTTGGAGGGTGGGTTCCTGCCCCCGCGTAGGCCAGGTACACAATTGTCTAGCCAGGGCACAGTTCTGGAGGATGAGGAGGATGAGGAGGAGGAGGAACCATGTTCACAGCAAGGTGGCACCCAACGCAGCTCGTAGGCATCACTGGAGGGTGGCTGGGGGGATACGGAGGACACAGACGATACACCTCCCACAAAGGATTGCTTGTCCTTGCCTCTGGGCAGCCTGGCACACATGAGCGACTACATGCTGCAGTGCCTGCGCAACAACTGCCGAGTTGCCCACATTCTAACTTGTGCTGACTACTGAGTGGCCACCCTGCTGGATCCAATTACAAGGATAACGTGCCATCCTTAATTCCCTCACTGGAGCATTATCGGAAGATGCGCGACTACAAGCGCACACTGGTAGACGCGCTGCTGAGGGCATTCCCATCTGACACCAGGGGCTCAGTGGAAGCACATGGCGTAGGCAGGAGGAGGAGGAAGAGGTCGCCAACGCAGCTGGGGCACAGCCAGCACCTCAGAAGGCAGGGTTAGCATGGCTGAAATGTGGAAAAGCTTTGTCAGCACGCCACAAAAACTAGCACCATCATCTGATATGGAACGTTTTAGCAGGAGGCAGCATTTCAGCAACATGGTGGAACAGTACGTGTGCACACACCTACACGTACTGACTGATGGGTCTGCCCCATTCAACTTCTGGGTCTCCAAATTGGGCACATGGCCTGAGCTTGCCCTTTATGCCTTGAAGGTGCTGGCCTGCCCTGCAGCCAGTGTATCGTCTGAACCTGTGTTTAGCATGGCAGGGGGCGTTATCACAGACAAGGGCAGCTGCCTGTCCACAGCCAACGTGGACAAGCTCACGTTTATTAAAATGAACCAGGCATGGATCCCACCAGATTTGTCTGTACCTTGTGCAGAATAGACATTTATACCAGCCTCACCCAGCCATTGTTATACTCAAGTGCACTTATTCTTTATTTTCTTTTTTTATATGTCCCAATATTTTGGGGGCTACCCCAATAAAAAAAACAAAAAAAAAACCAAAACAGTGTTGGCTACCTCCTCCTCCTCCAGTGCTGCTTCCACCTACTCCGCCACGGTCACGGCCTCCTCAACCTATGGGTCACTTAATATAAACTATGTACACAATAGAAGAGGCTTGTCTCCATGCATCAGGACTGCAAGAAATGCACCACAGGCCGCAAATGTTTTTTGTATGTCCCATTATTTTGGGGGCTACCCCAATTAAAAAAAAATAATTTTTTATATATATATACAGGGAGTGCAGAATTATTAGGCAAATGAGTATTTTGACCACATCATCCCCTTTATGCATGTTGTCTTACTCCAAGCTGTATAGGCTCGAAAGCCTACTACCAATTAAGCATATTAGGCGATGTGCATCTCTGTAATGAGAAGGGGTGTGGTCTAATGACATCAACACCCTATATCAGGTGTGCATAATTATTAGGCAACTTCCTTTCCTTTGGCAAAATGGGTCAAAAGAAGGACTTGACAGGCTCAGAAAAGTCAAAAATAGTGAGATACAGTGGCGTACATACCAGGGTCGCAGGGGTCGCGGCTGCGACCGGGCCCGGCCCACCAGGGGGCCCGGCCGCCCCTGCGACCCGGTATGTACGCCCAGGGCCAGCCTCTTCCCCTGGAGGGCCAGGAGCCGGCCACCCCAGGGCCCCACTGAGGCTGGCCCTAATGACCCCAGGCAGGCGGGTGCCGGTCCGGCAGGCGGGCGCGCGAGGGAGCACTCAGTGCTTCCTCTTCAGCTCCCTCGCGCACCGCACTGACGTCATCTTCCGGCTCCGGCATCCCTACGCGGCGCGCGAGGGAGCTGAAGAGGAAGCACTGAGTGCTCCCTCGCGCGCCCGCCTGCCTGCCCGACCGGCCACCCGCCCAGGAGCCCCACTGGACCCCAGGGAATAATCCCCCTCAGCACTCCAAAAGGTAAGGAGGCTGGGGGGATTAAATTAAAAAAAAAAAAAAATAGTGTTTGAGTGTGTGTGAGTGTTAGAGTGAGTGTTAGTGTGTGAGTGTTAGTGTGTGTGTGAGTGTTACTGTGTGTGTCTGCTAGTGAGTGTTAGTGTGTGAGTGTTAGTGAGTGTTAGTGTGTGTGTGTGTCTGCTAGTGAGTGTTAGTGTGTGTGTGTGTCTGCTAGTGAGTGTCAGTGAGTGTGTTACTGTGTGTGTCTTACTGACTGTGTGTGTGTGTTAGTGAGTCTGTTTGATGTCTGTTAGTGAGTGTGTGTTTGTCAATGAGAGTGTATGTTTTGTGAGTGTGTATGTATGTCTGTTGCTGAGTGTGTCTCTGTCAGTAAATGTGTGTGTCTGTTAGCTAGTGTGTATGCGTCTGTAAGTGTGTGTGTGTGTCTTCAGCACTTACCTTTCTCCAGCGCCGGACTCCCTTGGCACTGGGGATCCCTCAGCCTCTCAGCTCCGAATGCGACTGCGCACACATTCAAACCGCCCATAGGAAAGCATTACTCAATGCTTTCCTATGGACGTTCAGTGTGCTCCTCTAGCGGCTGTCAGTGAAACAGCCACTAGAGGCTGGATTAGCCCTCAGTGAAACATAGCAGTTTCTCTGAAACTGCTATGTTTTCAGCTGCAGGGTTAAAACTAGAGGGACCTGACACCCAGACAACTTCATTGAGCTGATGTGATCTAGGTGTCTGTAGTGGTCCCCTTTAAAAGGACCACTATAGTGCCAGAGAAAACATACTGTTTTCCTGGCACTATGAACAACAATGCCCACCCTCAGGGCCCCTCCAGCCCAGCTCTGGAAAGGGGTAAAACTTACCTTTCAGCTGGGGCTCCTCCGATCCTCCCTCTTCTCTCCCGTGGGCTGTATGCGCTGCAGCGGCAAGAGCTGCGTGCGCTTCCAGCGGTCACATGAAGAGCATTCACTGTGCTTTCCTATGGGCAACTAGCGTCTTTCTCACTGTGATTTTCACAGTGAGAAGCACGCAAGCGCCTCTAGTGGCTGTCAATGAGACAGCCACTAGAGGATTAGGGGGAAGGCATAACCCATTCATAATTATAGCAGTTTCTCTGAAACTGCTATAATTATGAAAAAATGGGTTAACCCTAGAAGGACCTGGCACCCAGACCACTTCATTAAGCTGAAGTGGTCTGGGTGCCTAGAGTGGTCCTTTAAGTGTGTGCATCTGCATGCACTGGCGTACATACCGCGGTCGCAGGGGTTGCAGCCCTGTAACCCCTGCGACCAGATTCCTTCCGCCAGCCAATATTTGCGGTCAGCGGGGCCTGGATCAATTTTAAGCTTTTGGGGCCCCAGGGGGTCGTAGTAATGCGCCACTGTGGTGAGATATCTCTTGCAGAGGATGCAGCACTCTTAAAATTGCAAAGCTTCTGAAGCGTGATCATCGAACAATCAAGCGTTTCATTCAAAATAGTCAACAGGGTCGCAAGAAGCGTGTGGAAAAACCAAGGCGCAAAATAACTGCCCATGAACTGAGAAAAGTCAAGCGTGCAGCTGCCACGATGCCACTTGCCACCAGTTTGGCCATATTTCAGAGCTGCAACATCACTGGAGTGCCCAAAAGCACAAGGTGTGCAATACTCAGAGACATGGCCAAGGTAAGAAAGGCTGAAAGACGACCACCACTGAACAAGACACACAAGCTGAAACGTCAAGACTGGGCCAAGAAATATCTCAAGACTGATTTTTCTAAGGTTTTATGGACTGATGAAATGAGAGTGAGTCTTGATGGGCCAGATGGATGGGCCCGTGGCTGGATTGGTAAAGGGCAGAGAGCTCCAGTCCGACTCAGACGCCAGCAAGGTGGAGGTGGAGTACTGGTTTGGGCTGGTATCATCAAAGATGAGCTTGTGGGGCCTTTTCGGGTTGAGGATGGAGTCAAGCTCAACTCCCAGTCCTACTGCCAGTTCCTGGAAGACACCTTCTTCAAGCAGTGGTACAGGAAGAAGTCTGCATCCTTCAAGAAAAACATGATTTTCATGCAGGACAATGCTCCATCACACGCGTCCAAGTACTCCACAGCGTGGCTGGCAAGAAAGGTATAAAAGAAGAAAAATCTAATGACATGGCCTCCTTGTTCACCTGATCTGAACCCCATTGAGAACCTGTGGTCCATCATCAAATGTGAGATTTACAAGGAGGGAAAACAGTACACCTCTCTGAACAGTGTCTGGGAGGCTGTGGTTGCTGCTGCACGCAATGTTGATGGTGAACAGATCAAAACACTGACAGAATCCATGGATGGCAGGCTTTTGAGTGTCCTTGCAAAGAAAGGTGGCTATATTGGTCACTGATTTGTTTTTGTTTTGTTTTTGAATGTCAGAAATGTATATCTGTGAATGTTGAGATGTTATATTGGTTTCACTGGTAATAATAAATAATTGAAATGGGTATATATTTGTTTTTTGTTAAGTTGCCTAATAATTATGCACAGTAATAGTCACCTGCACACACAGATATCCCCCTAACATAGCTAAAACTAAAAACAAACTAAAAACTACTTCCAAAAATATTCAGCTTTGATATTAATGAGTTTTTTGGGTTCATTGAGAACATGGTTGTTGTTCAATAATAAAATTAATCCTCAAAAATACAACTTGCCTAATAATTCTGCACTCCCTGTATATATATATATATATATATATATATATATATATATAAACAGTTTTGGCTACCTCCTCCTCCACCACCGCTTCCACCGTCACCGCCTCCTTAACCTATGGGTCACTTAGTATAAACTATGTTCACAATAGCAGAGGCTTGTGAAGGCCTTTTCTCCATGCATCAGGAGTTGAGCATTTCTCCACGCATCAGGACTGCAAGAATTGCACTGCAGGCTGCAAATGTTCCTTTTTCTATATGTCCCAATATTTTGGGGGCTACCCCAATTAAAATAAAAAATAGATATGTATAAACCGTATTGGCTACCTCTTCCTCCTCCTCCACCGCCTCTTCAACCTATGGGTCTCTTAGTATAAACTATGCACACAATAGCAGAGGCTTGTGAAGGCCTTTTCTCCATGCATCGGAGTTGAGCATTTCTCCATGCATCAGGACTGCAAGACATGCACCGCAGGCCGCAAATGCTTATTTTTTTATATGTCCCAATATTTTGGTAGCTATTCCAATTTAAAAAAAAAATATATATATATATTATATATATATAAAAAACAGTGTTGGCTCCACCGCCGCTTCCACCTACACCGCCACGGTCACCGCCTCCTCAACCTATGGGTCACTTAGTATAAACTATGTACACAATAGCAGAAGCTTGTAGCAGATGGCCATGAGCTGCCCTGGGACTTGTATTATGTTTAACTTGTATTCGTCTATTTGCTAAATGTATCTGCAGTAATGGAATGCATTCGCGTAAAATAGCAAAGTTCTATGTGTTAAATATATTGTATTCGTCTGAAAGTTAGGTAGTTTCATTCCCTTAGTTTATTCGAATGAAACTACCGAACAGTCAGACCTTCCCTGTGTGAAGTGTGCCTTCAATTACCCGTTGCAACATTGTAATTGACAAGCTGCATAGCAATCCTTTGTTCTCGGGGGTGGCCGCCATTTGGGAAACAAACACGTGGCGGGGGCCATCTTAAACTCCCGAACAGCGGTGTTTTGCCGTCGAGTGTCTGGAACTCAAAACGGACACTCGACTAGGCGAACACCGCTGAGACCTCCATCAGCCCGATCCGTTCGGTTCCAAACTTCCGAACGGCCCCTCGTTCGGTAGGCATAATCAACCGAACGAGGGGATTCAGGTGAACCCTCCCCAGCCTCTATAGCTAGAGGCTTTCAGGTACTTCATTTGCCTTTTCCAGGACCGACCGCAGGGCCCAGTCGCATGGAGACCAATTTGGCTAGTTTATCCAGTGCGGTCGGTCATTTTATTCCCTCCATGAAATTCCCGAACCCCTGGTCTGATCTGGGTGATTTTTGGATATGTTGTTCACCCAGATCAGGGCTACCAGGGGATGCATTATTTAAAGTGGTACCCCTAGGTTTAGGGGTACATCCAGAAATGGGGGGAATTGCTGTACTAGATAAGGGGATTATGATGCCGGCTGAGGGGAGATGATGTGTGGGAGGTTACCAGGACAGGATTGGCTATTGTATTAATGAATGTAATCCCTTGCATGGGAGCATGCTTTAAAAGGCCACTGTGGAATAAAGCTTCCAGTTCTGCTCCTGATGCTGTGTGTTGTCCAGTCATTGGGATTGCTGTGGGAATACTATTGGATTATTTTGCCTGTTGGAAACCTTGCCTGTGGATTTATAATTTACTTGTTCCTGAGCCTCACTGGGATCTCACGCGGAGATAATTGGTGGAATATTGTATCTCCGCTACACTTGTGAAGGCCTTTTCTCCATGCATCAGGAGTTGAGCTCAGTTTATACAGTGAAAGAATATCCTGCACTCCAACACTCTCTAAAATGGGTAATTCTGGTGATCCTCCTGACAGCCATGCTTTAGATTTTGATTTATGTTCTTCCAAAGCTAAAATCAAAGATTCCATCTAGTGCTATTTTATGGCTCAGCTGTATTTTAAATTTGTATGTTATTTTAAGTGATTTCCCTATCCACATTTGTTTGCAGGGCACTTGTCCTACTCTTACCCTCATTTTACTTCCTTTTGCAGCCCTCTAGCCCTTTCCAGGAGTTTTTTAGAGGCATTTTTGTACCCAAAAGTTCGGGTCCCCATTGACTTCAATCGGGTTCGGGGTCAAGTTCGGGGTCAAGTTCGAGCATGAACCCAGACTTTTTTTCAAAGTTCGACCGAACCCGCCAGACCCGAACATCCAGGTGTCCGCTCAACTCTATTCTTTACCTATCTTGCTTGAATATTAACAGACTTTTTTAATTGTATCTTAAATGACTCTAAGGTTTAGGATAGATTCTCCTGAAACCAGCACAGGAATTAGTTAATTTCCTTTTACTTGGATTTTTCCAGCATTTCCGCCGAGCATTGATTGCAGGTCTTTTTCCTATACCACTCAGGAAGGGTGAAAAGATCACATGCAAAACAAAACTAAAAAGGCCACATGCAAGACAAAACACTTGTGTTGTTCAAAATGTGCGGTCCGCACATTTTGAACAACACAAGTGTTTTGTTTAGCATGTGGCCTTTTTAAGGATAGGAACTGACATCTTATCCTTTTCAGCTTTATCCGTGAAGCAGGACTGGACATATTTCTGTTAAAGACAAATGAGAAGAAAAAAAAACCTATTTTCTAAATTTAGGAGGCAAGCAAACTAAAG